TGAGCTATAGCTATTGGATCTATTTTCAGTTGTTTCATAATTTTCTTCCTGATTCGTGTACTTATGCTTTTCATTCGTGAGTTGTCATAATGGTGGTGAATTTTGGATAGGAGTTTCAGAAATTTCAAAGTATCCTCTGCGTATATTTTAGATACACTCAGCGGATCTTTCGAGCCAAGAGCATTCTCAAAAAAATCAACTAGGATTTGATTTTTGTCTTGAAATCGCTCCTTAGCTGGTAATATCAAATGAGAAAAATCAACTTTAGCGGAAGTTCTGTCAAGAGTCATGTTTTTTACCTTTTTGTTTATAGGTTGTTGTGGTTTTGGAAAAATACTTTCATCAAATTTTGGAGGTGGACTTTCTATTTCAGAAAGAGGACGTTCTGTATTTGGTTTTCCTGTTGAGCTTTCCATTACAGTACCATTAGTTGTAGCGGATATGGTGTTATGGAGAGTTGTCTTGGGATTTAATGATTCTGCTATTGAAAAGAGAGAAATTACATCGTCAACTGACTTCTGTCGGTTTTGTTCTGAAGTTAGGGAATTTGTTGCTACAAAATAACCTCTTTTTAATTGGAAAAGAAGAAATACTAATATAAATTGACATTAATTAGGCATTCCAACGACCTGTCCAAATGGCTACCAGTGGGTAATGACAGTTTAGATATGGCAACCCTGTTGTCATGTTGTCATTAACATGGTCAATGATACATATATAGTTATATAGATTGCTCAAAGCTGGTCGTTTAAGAGCGGCCATATTGCCTGGCAAATATTTATTAATTTGAATCGGTTTAGAAAAAATGTGTTTTAAAACTAATTTTTAGCCTTTAGACATTAAAAAAAAATAATTGCTTACATTTTTACTTCAAGGCATAAGCTTATGTTTATTTTGAAAAATATGGATGATCAATCTATGTAACTATCTATTTCATTGACCTTGTCAAATCACCAAGCCTACAGGGTTGCCATAATTTTGCTATATCATAACCCGTCAAAACCCACTGGTAGCCATTCAGTTTGGAATGCCTAATTGTCATTATTTATCATGACACGTAAATGTCACGATGCGTTTAACACATTGATCTGGCAACCTAGGGATACGACATGCGTAAACGAAAAGTGGGACCGGTCCGCCATTACTGTGAGTGCAAATTGTCAAATTTTATAGGTTATATTTTTAGTGTCATTTGTGTAATTAAATTTGAATTTAATTTGTGTTTGAGCAAATTTTGAGTGTTACAAACTTATAAAGTATATAATGCCTTGCTGTGTTATACGTTCCTGCTCTAGCGATAGACGTTTTTGTGAAAAATCGATTGGAATAACGTTTCATAGGTTAGTATCAAAATTATAAATATTATACAGGACAGTATTATGACAGGTTTGTATAAAATTTGTAAAAGTATGCTTTTAAAAATGCAAAAAAAAATATCTATCAACTGTTGGGCCTACCTATATTGGAATAATACTTTTTCATACGAAATAATATTTCCAAAAAATCCTATAATACGTAGCGCGTGGATACAGTTTGTCAATAAGTATAATTGGTAACCTTCTAAATTCAGCAGTATATGTTTCAAGCATTTTCTTGAGAAGTACATTAATCGTACGCCATTTCGTTTATCAAATTTAATTTATAGGCATTTTATATTCTTATTTCTATTTAAATATAACCTACATTTGCTGTCCTTCCACCAATTTTATTTATTAGTTCTACAGCTGATTGAAAAGTAGAGCTTCATGTTTTGTGTATGTATGAGTATTGTTTGTTTTATTATAGTTAATTTAAAACAATATTAATATACCTTTTTAATTACCTATAATTTGTTTCAGATTAGTGCGTTTAAAGGAATTGGTGAAAATGAAGCGATTCGCCAACTTTGGGAATGTGCCAGAAAAGTGACATCAAAGTTATTCAACGGTTCCAGAATAAAGCATTAAGGAACAACGTCAATGCTGCACCCTGGTACTGCCACAATACTGATCTTCATAGGGACCTTAAAGTGGAGACTGTTGAAAATACAATACAAAAATTTGCCAGTAGTCACCAACAACAACAACGGTTCGAGCATGGAAACCTCGAGATTATCCAGCTCCTCAACAATGCCAAATCTAATAAGAAGACTCAAGAGACCAAGCCTTTTGAGTTCAGTGATGTTAAAGCATAGTATAGTGCAGTTAAGTGATTTAGACTCTAAGGTATACTAGATAGTAGAATATCAATTTGTGAAGTTTTTCATCCCTTGATAAGTTAGAATAAAATTTCTAATTGATTTTAATGATTAGATTGTAATAATCGTAAATGTTTCTTTACTTGGGGCATTTATTAAAAAAAATGTTGCAAGACGCACTATACAAACTTAAATATGACATTTTCAAAACTTTTGGTATTTTATCAACAATAATTATAAACGTCAGTTGGCTACTCAGTACTACACTTGTCAACTACGTTTCCTTTTTATGATAAATTTAAATTAATAATATGCCAAAATAGTGTACCTTTAATGATTTTGTCATGAATATTCGCGAGCTGCTTGTATGGAGTATCAGTGACAATTTCCATGCCGACAAGTTCCAAGGCACCAAACATTCAGTGCTGTGTTTCGACATATTCCAACACATGGCATACTATGTTAATATATCTTTTGATATTTAAACTCTTCTAGCTTGGTAACCATGTAGAATTGGATATTTGTGCATAGGACATTTTATGCTTGAAATGAATTCAGGAATATGATATTTAAGTTTGTATAGTGCATATTATGAACATACTGTATATAAGTACTTATAATAATAAACATTTAACATCAATACTCACTTAGTTTTTTTTAATGAGACTAGCAACAAAACCATAACCGTTTGTCTAGTATTAAAAATAAATATCACTCATATATATGAATAAGAAAATATTAAAACTTTATTCCTTGTACAATTTTATTTAATCACAGTACACATTATTTGCATTTACAATATTTGCTTGTCGTTCATATGCCCCAGTCTGTTTTGTTCATCATTTCTAGTGGCTTTTTCTGCTAAACTTTAGTCCGTATTCTACCTTTATGTAGGTAATGAATTATTCAACCATTTAGTCAACAAAGGGGTTTTACTTGTTTTACAGTAAGATACTTATCTGTAATGTTCAAGTTTTAGAATTTAAACTTGGATTAGGCCATTTTCGTCAATTTTGTTCTTAGAGCTTTTGGAAAAACACTTGGGAAGTACTCTTACAAATTTATTTCTTATTTTGCCTAGCGAAGAAATTGTGTATAAGGAAATATTCTGGTTTTTACCTCAGTGGTCAAGAAAAACGCTTACAGTGGATACTTTTCCTAACTCGATAAACATTTATTACCTAGATGTTGGCCTCCCTTTATCACCAGCCTACAATTTCAACTCTTCTGCTGTTAACTTTAACTTCATCTGTGACTTTAACTATGATTGAGACTTCAACTTTATCTTTACATTCTTTGTCTGACTTTTAATCATACATGCATGATTATTGTGCACAGATCAATTAAATTGGACCGGTATGCTTGTGGTGCATGTTGTGTGTTACTACGGTAGGCCTTTACATAAGTAGCCATAATCTCTGCAGATGGTGAGAAGCCCAGCTCAAACCAACTACCATAATATCGTCATTGGATCTATAGGTCTCAAGTAAGATCTCTTCATATTTTACATTTGTTAGAAGTGCACCAGCACATCGCTGGTTGTGGCATCGCTGATTTACTGAATGTCTTGCATGAAGATATACACCTTTCAGTCTGAATCTACAAAAGGACCAAGACCAAGTAAGATTAATCCACATTTTGATTTCCTGAATAGTGCATCTACCTACACAGAGATTGCTTATTAGCCATTTTCCGCGAGCCGTGCATTAAGTTTCGTATCTGATTATCGAGCTTTTAGTGTATGAACATTTGTTCTTAATTTCGAGAAAGCTGGAGTGCGTTTAGAAACCTCGTACGGCGCGCCTGACCACGTACATTAGAATAGGGTCCAGACGCGCCGTGCGTGGTTTCTAAACGCACTCCAGTTAATTAAAGTAAGTTTAGATTTTAGATTACTTGACATTTGCGACCTTGTACTTTCCGATTTAAAGACAGAAAGCATTGGGCTCATAAAAAAACGAAAAACTAAAGATTGGGATTCATGGATTTATGTGCCCTAGTGCAAACGTGTGACGACTGATCCAATAAATCGAACTCTGTTTACTTTTGTCGCTTATGTGAACCAAACATGTACTATTTATTTTTTCTGTGAATGATTTCAATGCTTTAGGGTTAATTTCACCATTGTGTTAAAGTTTAAACTATTAATTGAAGATTAAAATTACATTTTATATAAAAATGTCATTTTAAACTTCGTTAAACCCAATGGTGGAATCGGCCCCAAGTTAGTTATATCATGGTCATTGATTAGTTGCAATTTTGCAAATAATATATTCTCCAGCGCTTAATAGCCACTTGAGTGATAATTAAATCAGTTATATTTTATTTCTTTCATTTACTTTATTCAGCACCTCTCGGCTGAAAACCGGGCATATTTAAGCTTTTAAACCCCCTTCTTTTATAACCTCGGCCTTCCACCACCTTTTAGGTCAATGTCTATAAAAAGGAAATTCATTTTTTTATTATTCAAATAATGATGCTTAACCAGAAATAGTACAATAAAAACTTGTAAATCCGGTTCTGCTCTTCCGCCATTTTAGTGAGTGCAAAAGCCACGCCTACCGGTCCCACTTTTGTATATCAAAAATAATACATATGACGTATCCTTACGTTGCCTTATCAATGGTTTAACAACTTCAACTCATATTTTGTACAGCAACGTAAACATTATTTTTCTGCGTTCACGTTTACGTTAACGTACTGGAAACGCTTTAACTCTCTAATGAATACGAAAATATTTTTAAAGGCCGCCAATATTTTAACGGCCGTTAAATTATAGAGGAATTTTTACCGAATAGACCTCATTATGTTTTATGATTTCTAGATTTCAATGATTCACAAAGCATTAAAACTCAGAAACAACAAACTTGATTTATTCGCTTCAGCCTGGATAGCACCTAACTGGATGAAAACCATTCCTGGATTCTCTGCCAGAAATTCTTACCTCAAAGACGATATGTACCAACCATGGGCAGAATATTTTATAAAATTTTTGGATAGTTACAAGCAGAATAATATTTCGTTTTGGGGTATAACTACTGGTAATGAACCAAAAACAGCTTTAGGTGACAATAAGATACCATCTGTCGCATGGTATGACGATGGAATGGTAATATTAAACCTTGCAGTATATTTTATATAAAATCTATAATAAATAATTGCACAGGGATTAGCAAATATTAGAACTGTAATATTCATATATTTTTTTTGTTCAAACAGGATAGTTTATTAATTTAATTGAATTTTCAGATTAAATTTATAAGAGAAAATTTAGGTCCTGCATTGAGAAACTCGGCTCACTCTGATATTAATCTTTTAATTCTTGATGACCAGACTAACAATCTACTCGACACGGCTCATCAGGTAAATGGAAAATTAATTGTATTATTAGAAACAGAACAAATTTTTTTTTTGTTGGCTGTTAAATATTCTTTACAATCTTAAGAAAATATATTTATAGAGAAATCGAGGAGAAATCGGTGTGCGCTAAAAAACCAAAGAAAATTTTAAAAATTGAAAAAAATTCTGCTCAAATCCGCGACCTCTGGATCATTGTTTCATCGTCATAACCCCTAGACCACTAGAGATTGTGTATCTGGTGTCCTAGTTGTTAATTTGAGTATTTAGATTCGATCCCAACTAAGTTTATCAGACTATTTTTATTTTCCAACTCTACAACCCTTCAATGGTCAAATGTAGCATTGTTGAAGGTACATCACATCACGTGTATTCAAACCCTCGTTTCGTCCAGGTGTTACTGTTAATATGATTTGATGTACCTTCGACGATGCCACATTAAAGATGGCCATTGAAGGGTTGTAGAGTTGAAGAATATTCTGAGTTGGGATCGTATCTTAAATACTTAAATTAACAACTAAGACACCAGATACACTAGCTCTGATAGTCCAGAGCAGAATTTTTTTGAATTTTTCAAATTTTCTTTAGTTTGTTAGCGGACCCTGAATTCTCCCCGATTTCTCTGGCATTTTTTTCGTCAATTTAAACCGACAAATTTTCACAATAAACCTTCAGTTTATTCCTCAATTTTAAATATATTTATGTTCATCTAGAACTAGATTGAACACAAATTATTTTTTACAATTTTACCTACTGTTTTACTATTTATAAAATAAAATTTAATAAATGGAAAAATCCAGGACATTCAACGTTTAGAAGTATAAAAATTCTTGGAAATAAACCTATTTTTTCTTTCAGATATTGTTAGATGAGAAAGTTAACGAACTTGTTAATGGCATTGCTATTCATTGGTATGAAGATTCTGAAGATACACCAGCAAATTTAGATACTACACATGAACTGCATCCAAATAAATTCATTTTAGCAACAGAGGCCTGTAACGGTATGATCTATTTGTATACAGTGCAATTCAAACTTTTAAGGTTTATATTATCCTACCAAAGTTACGATTCGCTAACGTGAGATGGAGTTCTATCTATCTATCTATCTATCTGAATTAGGGCGTGGTTCAAAATCCACTTGTACTAGACTTATTGTACCCGTCACAGTTTCTATCCCATCAAATTGATTTTCTTGATGAATTCAAGAATATGTCTGATGGGTGCTTTCGCGATTTCTTCAGGTTCCGGATATTGAACCCCGAGGTACCATTCCCGTTCCCATTTAAGATTCTGACAATGGCATAGTATGTTAATAGGAGTTTCGTCCCCTTCTTCACACATTCTACATAGGGAGTCATTAGATATCCCTAAGAGATTTAGGTGTCTTCTAAGGCCACAGTGTCCCGTACGGAGTCCTATTACGGCCTTAAGTTCGCTTCTGCTAAGGTTTAGCAGTTGATTTTGTCTGCTCTATGAATCTTTTGGACTGTCTACGTTCAGGAAGTTCCAACCAGAGCCTATGGTGTTCTCTATTTATTTGTTCCTTTAATACCCATTTAACATAAGATACATGTGAGTTCTGGTCCAATAAAAGTTTTTTCCGATCTCTTCCTTGCTAGAAGGTCTACTTTTTTGTTTTCAAATACTCTCTCATGTCCTGGTACTCATTCAAGGGTGACCTTGTTATATTCTACCAGGGCCTGGAGGAACTGTTGGCAATAAAGTATTGATTTAGATTATACTTCTACCCTTTTCAGTCTAATTTTCTATTAGCTGTTATGCTTTTAGTCTTGTATCACCATATAACTGATGAGTAAGGTATAACAGGAACTACAACCATAGTGTAAAGCCAGCGCATCATACTTGGTTTAAGCCCCCATATGTTACCTATCATCCGTCTACAGGCCCATAGCATTCTTCCTGCTTTTTCTGTTGTTTTTTCTATATGGCTGTAGAAGCTAAGCGTGATTCCATGGTATTAAACCTCTTTTGCCACTTTTAGATGTTGTCCCCACATATAAATGTCCTTCATTCCTTAAAGGTTCCTTTTTCTTGTGAATGCAACAACAGAGGTTTTTGACGGGTTTGTGGACTATCCCCCTTTTAGGCACCATCTTTCGATGATATTTAGTGTCCGCTGCATCCTTTAGGATACAACAGACCCAAATTTACCGTTTACTACGATGCTTATGTTGTCTGTTAATGCTTGCTTGTATAAGTTTTCTTTCTAACTCCCATAAAAGGCCATCAACCATCAAGATCCACATGAAAAGTCATCAACCACCAAGGTCCACATAAGAGGAGATAACACTCCTCCCTTGTTAACTGGTAATGGTTCTATGAATTAAGCATGAACTCAACCCACTTCGTAATGCAGTGGGCTACTCCACGCCTGTACATAGATCCCAGTATTGAATTGTATGAAGCTGAATCAAAGGCTCCTAGGAAGACTTCTAGTGCTATTTCTTTGTTTTCCAATGCTTGTTCAGCCTGTTGACCTAGCCTATGTATGTCTGCAGCGCAATACTTTCTAGATTGGTAGGCAAACTTGTATCGATGTATCGGTTTATCCCATAGAACATCGTCCCGTATCTATGTATCGATCAATTTTACATGTTTTAAATGATTTATAAATAGTTGTTATTTTAATGATAAAGTTGTTAAAACTAACTTTTAAATATATTTTCTTCTCTGCTCTGGCGCTTAGTGTTCAAATATGAGATGTCCCATAACTCTAAATTCTCTGATTCAAAAAGAGATGATTAAACGAAAAAGGCTTAGGTAAGGTACAGGAGCCAGTGACACTTTATTGGTACACATTTGCACAAGTCAAATTTACATTTTTTGTTTGTTTTGTAAAAGATGGAAATACTTTGTTGCAGATACACCAACAGTGGAGTGGACGATAACGGTGTTTTAAAAAAGTCATTGTCGAGAATGCTAATGTCTCCAAGGCTTAGGTCGTTAAGCGTTTAAATTTGGATTTCCCAACCCGGGTTTAATTTCAGATAAAACCAATCTTTTTTAATACATTTAATTTGGAAAAAATATGAAAAATGAAAAAATACTGCTCATGCTGTTTATTTATTTTAAATACATTTTATTTATCATAATATAACCCCAATAAATGAATGAATAAACAGCAATATTTGATAATTAATGAACAGCATTTTTTTCATTTTTCTAACTAAAAAAAAGAGCTTTTATCAGTAACTGAACCCGGTTCGCGAAATCAAAAGTTGAACACTTAACGACCTGAGCCGTGAAGGTTAATATCAAGTTAATTATCTAATCAAATATGTTAGCATTTTCTACAATGGCTTTTTTAAGACTTCTTCGTCGAGCGCTCCACCAATGCAAGGACTGCAGCAAAATGTATCCATTTTGAACAAGATAAAATAAACGAAAAATTTGTAATTTTGTCTTGGAAAATAACACACCTAAATGTGCCACTGGGGCTCCCCTACCATAAAATGTTACTCATTTTCAAAATACTTGTAGTTAAAATTTGAAAACTGAAAAATTATTAATGGTTTAAAATTTTTTATTACTTACTTACTTATTATAATTTTAATAAAATAGGCAAACGGGTTTGGTATCATGTCGTCATAACAGCAAAAAATCTGTCAATTAAATTTAACCACTGGCGTACGGCATGGGTGAGTAACTTTATGTTACGCAATTGCCCAAACATTAATATTAAATATTATTTAATAAAATACATAATTCTCAAAACAGAACAATAAAACTTCCCGTAAAATTTAAAAACAGAACATTACGCAAAATAAACTGCCAAAGGGGCAAGAAATTAACTCAGATTCCCAGACAACAAACACCATACAAACACATAGGCAGGAGAATTCCAGTATCCTAAGAATGTTCGGTAGGGATAACCCCTAACCAAAATAAAAATATAGATTGCAATCCTTTCTAAAATAATACTAAATTACAAAAATTCACACTGAGAAATAATTACTTGTACCAAAAACAAGACGAGTATGTAAAATTTGATTTTAATATTAAACTTTAGGTATATTTTAAGTTCTATCCTATTATTTACCATAATAAGTGGATCTTTTACTCTTGTTGGTTTAGAAGTCATAGAATTTTGTTAATGTCATCCATAGTTTTGAAGTTACTTCGAATGTATATTTTTATTTTTATCATTTTTGAAAAATACGTTTTCAAATTTAGTTACCAATGATATCTCACAAGTTTCATAAAATATGAAAATCACAGCGAAACCTAGAAACAACCAAATGCGTACCGTTTCGATTAACCAGAGTTTCGATTATCCAGAAAAAAATTATATTATTGACTTGTGCAATTATTTTTAAATTACAAATGTTAAAAATTGTTAAACATAAATATCAAAAGAAGCATACAAACACTTCACACATTCACACATCACAACTAGATACTTGACTAACATAGCCAAGCATGATTTTTGGATTTTTGGACTTTTTTGGATATTTGGATTTTTGGATTTTTAAATTTTTGAATTTTTGGATTTTTGGATTTTGGATTTTTGGATTTTTGGATTTTTGGATTTTTGGATTTTAGGATTTTTGGATTTTTGGATTATTGGATTATTGGATTTTTGGATTTTTGGATTTTTGAATTTTAAAATTTTTGGAATTTTGGATTTTTGGATTTTTAGATTTATAGATATTTGGATTTTTGAATATTTGGATTTTTGGATTTTTGGATTTTTGGATTTTTAAGTTTTTAATTTTTGGATTTTTATATTTTTGAATTTTTGGATTTTTTTTATTTTTGGATTTTTGGATTTTTGGATTTTTAGATTTTTGGATTTTTGGATTTTTGGATTTTTGGATTTTTGGATTTTTGGATTTTTGAATTTTTGGATTTTTGGATTTTTGGATTTTTGGATTTTTGGATTTTTGGATTTTTGGAATTTTGGATTTATAGATTTTTGGATTTTTGAATTTTTGTATTTTTAAGTTTTTGATTTTTAGATTTTTGGATTTTTGGATTTTTGGATTTTTGGATTTTTGGATTTTTGGATTTTTGGATTTTTGGATTTTTGGATTTTTGGATTTTTGGATTTTTGGATTTTTGGATTTTTGAATTTTTGGATTTTTTAATTTTTTAATTTTTGGATTGTTGGATTGTTGGATTTTTGGATTTTTGGATTTTTGGATTTTTGGATTTTTGAATTTTTGGATTTTTGGATTTTTGGATTTTTGGATTTTTGGATTTTTGGATTTTTGGATTTTTGGATTTTTGGATTTTTGGATTTTTGGTTTTTTGATTTTTGGATTTTTGGATTTTTTGATTTTCGGATTTTTGGATTTTTGAATTTTTGGATATTTGGATTTTTGGATTTTTGGATTTTTGGATATTTTATTTTTAGATAATTCGATTTTTCAGCGTTTAGAATAAATCTTAGGTTGTGTGTAAAGCAAACAGTTATAATTTTGTACGTTTATAAAAATTTTAGAGATAATTTATTGTGAAATAATATTTATAAAAAAACTAATTTTGTAAATTTTTCTCCTATTATAGCAATAACATGGTCAATTTTGAAAAAAACATCTGATTAAAAGGAACTTTTTTACTTACTTGAATTGACAAAATATTTAACAAAATATTTTTTTTTTAAAAACAGCCCTTTAGTAACTTATGTGATAAGATAAATTTTTTGAACCTAAGATTAATTTTTTGTTTTGATGAGATAAACCTTAAGCAAAATTAGTCTTCAATATCAGTTCCTAAGACGTGCATGTAGATACAAAAAAAGTTAATATTTATCTGCTATTTATGTTCCAAGAGTCAGTATTTTGTTAATATCAAGTTTTTTAGGATACAAGTTAAATGACGTCATACTAGGAAGCTGGGAAAGAGGAGAAATGTACGCTGAAAGTATCTTGAAAGTAAGTTTGTATCAAAATGTACGATATACATTTACAATACTTTAACAACATTTAAAACTTAAAATTTTTAAAATAAAAATACATCTTTTGCAAGGATTTAAATCATTGGGTGGTCGGATGGGTTGACTGGAATATGGCTCTAAATCTTCAAGGAGGACCAACTTTTATAGCAAATTACGTCGATGCTCCCATTCTAGTTAACGCTACAGCTGAAGAATTTTATAAACAACCAATGTACTATGCTCTTGCACATTTTTCGAAATTTATTCCTAAAGGGTCCTTTAGAGTTAAGTCTTCTGTTATCAATGAAGTTATTTCTACTGCAGTAACAAGACCAGATGGTGCTACTGCTGTCGTGATTTTAAACAAGTAAGCTTTATAGTATTTTTAAAACAAAATTTGTAATTTCTAAAATTATTTTCATATCAACCACTGATTTCGGAAGTTCGCAATATTTTGACTTCACTTATTATTTTTTGTTTTACCTACCCTTAGAATATTTAAAAGGTTCTTTTGTTAATTTGTTATTTTTGTTGTAGAGATGACAAGGATGTATCAGTAACAGTAAGAGATGCAGGCAGAGGCGATATCAATGTTCATTTGACAAAAAAATCGATAACATCTATTGTATATTGGTAGTAAATTATGTTTAAAGTGTAAATAAATTATTTAAAAAACTTTCACATCGTGTGTTCACCAATATCTTTTATATTGCTCATATTTAAAAATAATTCTAAATCAATAGTGGAAATATTCAAAATGTCAAAAGTGATTGATATTCTTGAAAAAAGAATGAAACTAAAAATCAAGTTTGTTACCTCCTAATTTCCCCGTGGGCCATGTTTAGGTCCAATGGTTGCCACTTAATTCAACCTACAAAGATAATTTCCAACTTACAAAGATCTAAAGTTAACGCAAATAGTCTCGATTTTCTGATGAAGAGCCCTGGCTCCGGTTTCGCTCTGAGTGGAGAAAGGCATGGTCTGTTTAGTACCAAGATTCAAAGTATTTTAATAAGGGCGACAGTTTGATTTGAATACCAGATAAATATATTTCCTTGTCCCCAACCTATATCGATCAAACAATAGGAACGAAATGAGTTAAAATAGGTTGACAAACTTTATACCCTCCAGTAAAAATTACCAATGTAGGCTTTATTTTAAACTATAAGAATGTCCCTTGGATAAACAGTAAAAAAAATTGTATATAGGTGTTTATGGCACAAAAAATATATGTATATAACTAAAATCAATGTCAATAATATAAATCAAACCAATAAAAATTAGAGCAGATAATCCCCTACCGCATAATTAAGTAAATCTCAATATATCAATGTCATAGGTGTTGGTACCAAAGTATAGACTTCATGTGCTATCTGCACAAAATATAGTAAAGAAATACCGCTATATATATAGTCATTTGATTTCAGTCGTACAATTTATATAACCTAAATGTTAATTAAATGAATAAAATCCCACACACAGAGAAATTTGTCTAAGTATATAATCAAGAATGCGTATTTAAAATGTAACACGATTCTAATTGTAAACTGAAGTAAGAATATTCTTTATTTGAAACCTGTCTTTTGTAAATTAACATTGCTGTGTTCAATTTTTGAATTGGAAATTATAAATAAGCACGAACGGTATTAATTTCAAATCAAGATTTTTTAACATGCGTTCTTAAACCAGAATTAAATAAGTTTGCTAAAATTGTTGACCGTGTGAAGTTATTAAAGTTATAAATAATTACGTTACAAAAAATTATATGTGAATTTTTAATTTCTATTGATGTGATAGTTACTCATCTGCATTTTACAATATGAATACATTTTTTGGCTTTGGTATAAAACCCTGTCTAGTAAAACTTCTAATCAGAATCTTGATATTATTATTTGTGAACTTAAAAACGTGGTCCACTAGTCAAAATATTTGGTATAATAATTACCTATATAGCATCAATTGCCACTGCCACTGGTAAAATCTAAAATATTTTAAATAGATTGCTTACTACCCTGTTTTAAAAATAAAGTGTAACTCTTCAATTATTAAACATATTCCAAATAATTTAAGATTCCTTGCGTTATGTTAATAAAAATTAAACAAAATGTTTCACCATTTATTTGGTATTCTGTCCCTTACTTACTATTTCTCTACTGCATGTTTCTTCTTCTACAGTCATCAGCACTCTAGCTCCATATGGACATTTCAAGTCTATCATAGAGTTTTGTTTTTGTTTTAAATTCCATCCGGACTGTCAACAACATAATCAAATTCGGAATCAATAAAAAGTCCACATTTAAAAACTTTTTCTTGCAAATAAATTACCAAATCTTATTTTGCTCTAGATTTATTGTCCATGCCATATTGGATGGCTTTAGCAAAAAATAAAAGATTTTATGAGATTTTTAAAGAAGGCGTTTCTTTTTTTTACATATGTTTACACATTTTGAAGTAGCGACACGTTTTCGTCTTTCATTGTGCCACAATGCCCATCAGCTTGTTCGCGGAGCCTGTCGGCGACATGTTCACGACAGATGAGCATGTGCATTTCGATTTTAAGCTGTTTTAAGCGTTCGATTTTTGACTTTACGAACGCTAAAAATCGAAATGCGCATGCTCATCTGTCGTAGACATGTCGCCGACAGGTTCCGCGAACAAAGCTAATAAGACATAAATTTTAAAATTATTTTGAAATGTACACGATGCCCAAAAAGTGTGGCATATCAAAATTATATTTTTTTATGGAAAGCCAAATAATTTATTGCATTTATGATCAAAAATTATTACTATCTGTAGTTGTCATAGTATTGTCATGAAATTCCTAATCCGACCCTGTATCTAAAGCAAGCGCGGCCTTCAGAAGGCAACCAACTCGTGCTCGAGGCGACGAAATGTTCTGGGAATGCCGCTGCGGCTCGAAAAACGGGTAGAACGGGCGAAGTGTGCCGTTGAGTCAGAGATAGAATGTTCGAGACGACCGTCTGGAGACTTCTAGTAGGAGTTGGACTTAATATAAATAGCCGACTCGCCGGTGCCCAGTTGTATTGAATATAGAACATTGTATTGAAAAGTTTAAGTGTAAGAAATAAATTAGAATTGTTAGTTAGTGTCTAAGTATTGTAATAATTGGCATTATTATTATTTGAAAAAATCTAAAGAATTTGCCAAAAATTCTAACTAAGTATTTAATGTTTAAATTAAATAATTAAAAAGACACGTATGAAAATGAAACAAACCTTCAGGTATTAATCTACATTGAACGTGACATTTTTAAATACAAGCAACCATCACGTAAAATTTGGTTTATATAGAGAGGAGACAGAAAGAAAAGATTACTTGGGTAAACTCTCAGTCGAGTTCGGACTAAGGTCCAGAACTTTCGCCCCAGGGGCGAAAGCCCTCGTTTTGTATTGTAGTAATGTGTAGAGTAAAGTTTTGTGTACGATGTGAATTATGGGTAAATATTTTTACTTAATTTTAAAGTGTTTTTGTTTAATAATAATTGATTGATTGATTTACATATAAATGTCAATTTTACATTTTCGTCCCGAATTATATTTATCTTATGCATATCTTTATATTATAGTGCTTTATTCCCTAAATGGAATTTTGTTCATTTTTTTCTTAAGACTATTTGTCAAATTTTATATTTATTGTTAATATACATTTGTTAATGTTTTAATACTTATTATTAATCTCTCGTCTCCCTTTCAAAAACCAGTGAGATATTCCGAGCATTTGAGAAGCCTTGGCATTTCTATTCCCTTAGGACTAAAAGAGTCTAAAACTAGTTGCCAAGAACCGCTTGACTATGCTATTAAGGGATGATTTTTTTATTCTTTTAATTTAATTTTTTTTATTATTTTTATTTGCCACTGGTGAATGGATGTTCCTTCAGGACTCCAGGGCCCTTTGGCTGGTGACGGCGCTGCCCTTATCCCTTAATAGTAAATTAACAACAGTAGCTAAAGACCTATCAGTAGTTACAAATGGTCTTTAGGCAAGTTGGTTGTTACAGTATTATATAAATTAAATAGTACGTCTGAAACAAATTATAAATAGTGTGTTTTTAAATAAATAAACTAAAAATAAATTAGACTTTCATCACAGTATTGTGTTTCGATGGTATTTTAATTTAATTTAGTCCTAGCCACATAACTTATATTATTTTGTATTTGCAATAATAACGATTTATAATAAATTTTCCAAATCAGTTTCAAATAGAAGTAGAGTAAAAGTTGTTTTGAAGAATTTATTAATTCTTTTTTGTTTCTAATAAAATCGGTGGTGTTTCTCAACGAAATAGAAACGAATGTGTAGCTTGTGACTGCATCCCTTCGAGTAGGTTAGTCTTGCAATTAAATAGGTACGAAACAGCTTTGGAAGCGATAAATGGCAAACAATGTTTAACCCTCAAAGTAGTGCTGATTACAGTAATTAGGGGATATATCACACAGGATAGGGAACCGATTTGATATCTCTTGTTATATGGATGGAAAGTTCAGTTCAGTTAGGTAGTGATTATTCGCTGCGAATATCTCTCTATCCCTTTCTGTCGTTCACTCATTCCTTTGTCTGCCAATTACAGCGGCCTTTAGAGATAAACAGTGCGGATAATCTATCAAATTAATGTTTATCCCGAACAATTTGTTATCTGCCGCTGTTTCTGTATGCCGTGCCGTGCGGAAAGCTACGATATTTACGCTATCGATGATATACCTATATGTTTACATGTTTTCCCTCTTACAGTGTACAACAGGTAGTTAATTTTTGCCTAAATATTATTTAATTTGTTTAGGATGTAATGAAATTCGCGTTATGAAATAATCCACCGATTTTATAGCTCCAATATTGTTAAACAGGCCATTATTAAAGTTTTAAATTAGCGCGCCATTAGGGTAACGGCACGCAAGAGTAATAGTGTTTTTGTTTATATCATAGGCAAACAAATTGTAAAAGTGCTGCAAACCGATGACATAACTCATACAAGGTTTTGGAACAGCTATTCCAATTTGCAACCTTTTATTTTGCACGGAAATATTTTTTTTGTAAAAATATTAAAATAATTTTTTATTTTCCTCTAATGTTGTCAAAAAAAATGCAAAAGTTTTGAAAATTTGTTGCAAATGTAAATATTATTTTTCTTAAAAATCTGGTAAATTTGCAACCTCGGACAAGATCCGGAACGTTGAAAAATTAACAAAAATCAAGAATTCGCACCATGGCAATTTAATTCAATTTTATCTTTAAAATTCTTTATATAGAAACTAAAAGAAAAATGTACAATATAAAGATCCATGCGAGGTATTAGAAGTGCGGATATATAAAAGTTATAACTGAAGGTGGAGCATAAAAAATAGAAAACTAATTCCGAGAATAAAATAATATTAATCATTATTTTAACGATTGAATAAATGACCTTGAAAATGGGATTTCTTACAACTAACAAAAACTCAAAATCTATTCGCAAGGTGCAAAGTATATGGTAGGGACAGTCGAATCGACAGCAGCGTTCGCAGTGGACAAAGTAGGCATTAAATCTGGATTTTATTGTGAATAAATTAATAAAAGAATTTAATTATATCATGAACGGTTGGATTTACGAAAATTTTTCGTTCCTGCTAATTTGTAGAGAACAGTTTTCTCCGTCGAATGGTGAATAATTAATTTTCCTAAGGTTA